CTGTGCATTTTGTTAGCCAACCCCTTCCTCATACATGTAGTTAAATTAAGGCCTAGCCTTGTTTTTTTGTTTTGTTTGTTCTTTTACACTTTTATTTATATATAATATTTGATGCAATGCATATCTCCCACCAACTTTTATGCCCAAGATTTAAAAGGGACAAAGATTAAGCCTATATGATCAATCCATGAACATTACTTCACCTGTGATCATATACAGTATTGAGAGTTTCTGAGTTGTGTTCAAAATCTTTTCAGCTACTACCACACTAAATTTTACATCAGCATCAGTAACTTTGATTAAGAAACAACCATTTTGTCTTAGCTAAGCAGTGGAGGCCATCTTGAATTGGGCTGACACAGGCTGCCAACAGAAAAACACGGTCTCACCATGATACATGCAGAACTTCACTGAGCCATCAGACTTGATCAGACAAGTCTGACAGTCGTACTGCAGCATGACGTGGTTCACCGTCTGAGTCAGAAAGTCAGTATAGTACATCACCTATGGTGGGTCATCGGTTCTCTGCTCAGACTGACACCCGAGGGCCTTGAGAGCAACAACCAGCTGCCAGGGCAGCTCATACTCTCCATCACACAAATAAGCTTTTATGTAGCAGCACACTTTCACAAGCTCCAAACACATGTGGCTCTTCAGCGTCGCAGCCTGGAGGGCATGAGCAGGACGTCGCACGCAGCAGCTTTCAGCTAACACCTGTCATGTGTGAGTTCAACACCCGTGTGGTAACTTCAATTAACCAGCAACAGCTGAGCGTCGTGCTCGTTCAACAGGCTGAGAGTCAACGTGGGCTCACCTCCAGGTTCAACGTTTTCTTTCTGTAACCTTTCCTGACCAGAAATTATTTAAGTCCACCAACAACAAAAGTACTACTTGAATTATGCTGCTGATTAATCTGATCTTTTATTAATAAATGTTTCTGTCAATGCCTCTCACCAATAATTACAACATATTAAAATACAACCCTAATTTCAAAAGAGTTGAGATGTGTAAAATGTAAATAAGTGATAAGCTGATGTCCCCAGCTGCTGAAGGATCAGTAGTGAATGTAGTTTTCAAGATGAGTGTTTTTCTGGAACTAACAGGGAATGCAAGTAAACGTTAATGTTTGTGGTGCAAGATGTTCAAGTGGGTAGGAGTTACTCTGTGGAGGTCAGAGGGAGGTTTGGGTTTTTGTCTGAGGCAGTGACAGATCCTGGTGAGTGGAGGGAGCAATTTTATCCACCACCAGGTCCAACCATGGAGTCAGGGGGTGGCCCATGATTCATAAATAACCATAGATTAATAACCATAGACTAATCTTTGGCCACCCCAATAATTTGAGGAAACTATACTTTTAAGAAATGTAAAATATTTAAAAAAAATATTAGAAAGCATAGTTTGCTCAAATGATGGAGTGGTTGGTTCATATATGTGGTGGTGGCCATCTTGGATGTTGACATGGCAACCACATTTTTGAAAGAAACCTACAGCTACACTCCAAAATGAAAATTGGTACCGCACTTATTTTCAAGTCATCATGCGCACAACATGTATGAATGGACAGACAGTGGGCATTTCTAATTCCACTTTGCTTTGTGATGGGGGAAAAACTAGAATGCAATGAAATGTAAATCTCATAAAGCCATATTTGATTAACAATGGCACATAGTAAATATATCAAATGTTTAAATTTGATGGCAGCAACACATCTAAAAAAGTTGTTACAGGGAAGACAAAAGGCTGTAGAAGAAAGTGGCACAAACAACAACAGGAGCATTTTGAACCAATTAGGCTGGTTTGCAGAAGGTCACGTGTCATGTGACTGCTGGCGGATTCAAACCCCCAACTCTTGCATTGGAGGACGACTGCTCTAACCACTCAGCCACAGCCACTTCACATTTACAAGAGAGACCTGTTTTTAAAAGAGTGATGACAACAGTAGACAATCATAAAATAAAGCTTTTAAACTGAAAAAAAATAAATGGAAGAAATTTATATTTAAAAAATTAAACAAAAACAGCTACCATATTTTCCAGTGTATAAGTCGCAGGGTTTTTACACATAGATTTATCAGTCCTGTGACTTGTATACTTTTTTCATATTCATAATGCAACTTTTGACTGATGCATTAAATTTCTAAGAACTCAAACAGCGAGTCCTCCCATGTGCACTCGCTTCACTCAGCTGGTGCAGGCGGAGGAACGCTGGAGAGCTAGCGGCTCTGGCCGTGATGGATGGAGTCGCACCGCCCAGGCAAAATGAAGCCGTTTTGACCATTTAATAAACGCGACAGGTCAGTGGTGATGCACAATAAATGCGACTTATAAGCCAAAGCGACTTGTGGTTTTTTTCCTCTTCATGATGCTCATTTTGACTGTTGCTACTTATACTCCAGAGCGATTTATATGCTGGAAAATACGTACACTGTAAAACAATGCAAAACACGGAAAACAAGAACACGTCTGCATTCATTTGAAATTCTTTTTGGAAACCACAGACACCACATCCTCCATTTTGAAGAGGAGAGTGACCATCCAACCTGTTCTCAATGCACATGTTAACAACCTGCCTCTCTGATGGTATAGGGTTACATTAGTGCTTGTAGCGTGGGCAGCTTACACATCTTGAGAAGCACTGGAACTGGCACAGAGGCATGCAGAAAAGTACTGTATATACAGGTTTTAGAGCAACATCCAGACAATATTTACCCCTCAGGGAAAACCTGGCATATTTCAGGAAGACAACACTAAACTGCATCCATCACAACAACATGGCTTCAGAGCAGAAGAGACTTGGTGCTGAACTGGCCTGACTTCAGTCCAGACCTCTCACCAAGTGAAAACATTTGACACACCATAAAATTAGAACTCTGTCAAAGACCCGGGACTGTTCTGGCTAAAATCCTGTTTCACAGCGAGAAACATGGCCTGATCTCAACTTTTGGAAGATGTGTTCTCAGTTTAAATATTTGATATTTTTAATGGTACATTGTGAATAAAATATGTTTGAGATTTGTAAATCATTGTATTCAGTTTTCATT